AGTTTACCCTCATCTACAGGCCAGGACTCTACAGTTTACACTTATCTACAGGCCCGGACTCTACAGTTTACCCTCATCTACAGGCCAGGACTCTACAGTTTACACTTATCTACAGGCCCGGACTCTACAGTTTACCCTCATCTACAGGCCAGGACTCTACAGTTTACACTCATCTACAGGCCAGGACTCCACAGTTTACACTCATCTACAGGCCAGCTGTCACTCTTTCAGGGATGAAGATAGATCCTTGATAGAGAGGAATGCTAGTTTGAAAGAGGAGTAAAGAAAGCTGTTGTTAAACATCGTGGACACCGTTGTCCCCCTTTTATAATGTTGTTATTGCGATGACTCAGCCCTCTGTGAACAATAGGCAACAATTAGGGCCCTAATGGTTGGTTTTAATGAACTATGTTGATTGTCATTGTTAAACCTGTTTGTCCAGCATGTAGAGGGACTGCTTATAAGACTGAAGAAGTCTCTTGGAGAAGAGATTAAACATTTTCAACTCCTCCAGAAGACCTTATCAACTTTTTTTAGATTAATGTAACAATGCTAACAACAGCATAACGAGAATTAAAAGAGAAAAGACATAAAATGGTGAAACATGGATGATACGACTTCTGAACTGGACGAGTTGCTCCAGCAGATTCCTGGAACAACCTTGGAGATTTTATTGTTCCTCCTCCCCAGAAGACTGGAGTCATAAAACAGATACAACTCAGTGCAGAACCCTCAAGCTCCTGGAGGCTAATCACCATCCAAAAAGATGTTTATGCACACAAATGTATGCATATATTATACAAGCTGCTCTGATCCATCAAACTTTTGTTCCAGTAATTATTTCCTCATCATTTCCCGCAGTCCAGCATCTGAATACAGAACATTTTGTCCAGGCAACGTTCAAGCTGGCATAGTTTCAAAATGTCTTGTGGTCATTTAAATTTCCAGACAGAATTTTAAAACATGCCTGACATGTTGGCCTCTAATGTTAGCACATCACTGTCAAGGACTAGAGCCTTATTTCCTTTTTACTATAAAACAAAAAATAAAGCAAAAGCTATTTTTCAGACTCCTAGCCACCAGAATAGGCAGAAAACACTCCTCAGAACTAATTAATGTCTGTGTTATTGTTGCATTTTCAGAAACCTTTTGCACCATTATAACAAATATAAATGAACAATTGTTTGGCAAAAACTACATTATGAGCAATCTGTTCAATAAAAAATGTTCTTGCCTCGCTGTTATGGAAGTGAGCCAAAGCTTTTCACTTCATATTTGTTGATGATATTCAGAACATCAGCATACATTATTTACATATTACTTCTGGGAGTAAACTAATAATCACAGTTTTAAAAGAGTTGCCACAGTCAGTAAAGTTAATGAAATCTCACGACTTTCCTTCCTTGTAATGCAGACCAACACGCTGTAACTATTAGACCTTTTAATGGGGCTGCCTGTGAAGGAGGAACTGTTGAAATTACTCCATAAATGCCATTTATTTTACAACTTGCTCCTTGAGTCATCGCAGCATGTTGTATGTTCAACCTTAAAACGTGGCGAAATTTAGGGAATTACACAAAACCTGTTTGCTTCAGTTCACATCTTACTGCTGGACACTGAGTGAGTTACAGGAACAGCCTGAGGGGATGAATAAATCTTAAAGTGTTACAGTTTATAACAACCTTTTTTTAAATTGTTTTGGCCATCATTTGACTCTGAAAAGCCTTTCTTAAATATGACTGGATCTAAAACGTGTCAGCAACATAATGGGGTGTGATGTTTTGGGGTTTTATTTTGTAGAGTCCCTCTAAAATATTATTCCTGGTGTGATTTATAGAAAGTTGCTAACAGCTGCTTGTTCAGCAGTTATCAGAAAATTTGATTGTTTTTCACTGCAGCTCTGCTCCAACATTAGTTCAGCATAACTGTGACAGATTGAAACCATTAAAAATCTACACCAGTCAGACCTAACGACAACTAAAATTGAAATATCTTTAGATAATTGCTAAGTTTGTTTTATTTCTTGAGTGTGCTTTTGGTAGACAATCTAATTTCAGTTTTCAGTACTTGGAAAGGGAATGTAAACTTGAGGAAGCTGGATTTCTTTCTGGAAATGCTTCAGCATCTGCAAAAACAAAAAATACCTTCCAACATCATGATTTGTTTGACTTTTGTGAACTTTTTTTGTTGTTGTTGCATTCAGAATTCGACGCAGGCTTATAAAACTGTTTTATGTTCTGAATCAATTTGTATATCTTTAGACTGAATCCTCTGAGGGACGCATAGAGTTGAGGCACAACTTTAGCTGCGCAGCACACACAAACTGTATGTTTGCTTTGGCACCTGCTAGCCTGTGCAGTAGTCGTTTTGTATGCTCTGCACAAACAGCACTTCATCAAAACATGGTTGCTACTTTTGTCGCCCTCCTCTCGGTGATGTGTCAAATGGTAGCGATGTCCTGTGACCTTACGTCCTCCTGATGCGGCGGCTTGTGTGTAACGTGATAACAAGTGTTGCAGGGTTCAATCAAGAATGGAGAGCATAACAAGGAGAACGTGGAAGTATCTCCTCATTGTTTGGTCACATTTTAAAGAGGGGCTATTGTGCAAAATTGAATTTTTGAGATTTATATCATGTTATGTCATTCCCTCGTCAAAAACATACCCTACCCCTAGAGGGTTGCTTTGACTCATTTATGATTGAGAGATCCCTGAATCTCCTGTAGCCATGTGGAGGTACCTAAACGCTTGCTGGTAAAAAGCTCCGCCTATTTACCCAAAGCTCCTCCTTGGAGGAGTCCCTAAGGGAGCTCCCGAGAGCGACAACAACAATTGCTATTTCTCAATCCAGTCATTTTCAAATTAAAAAGTGCCTTCATTGAATAAATACCAAAAAAGTTATGTTACCAAACTGAAAGGTTTTGTAAGAGCCTCTCGACTCGCTCCTTTTCTTCAGAAAACGTACTTTCTGGGTTCGACGTGGAATCATTCCAGTAAGGTTCAACTGTATTCTAAGTTGGCATTTTCAAAAACTGATCTTATTTAATGTTGCTTCTTTGATTACAACAAAACACAATGCTCCTACGCCAACATGAAGCATTGTTGTGAAGACGTGCTGAAGTGGGAGTGTTTGAAATGGTAGAAGGTTCTTAAATAGACAGAGGCCAATTTAAAGGTGTTTAGATAGACTGTGATGCAAAGAATTTTATTTTTTATAAATACAGTATTTTCATAACATAGTTACTTGATTATGGTATAGAATTGAACTACTGTATGTGCCTGGAAAATACACAATACCCCCCTTTAATAAAGCACACTGCATATAGGGTCCAAACACAAATTATTTGGCCGGGCTCTGCTTCTATGAAATGCAATCAGTCATAAGTTCCACAGGGTTGGATAAAGGTTGGAAAAAAACCGGATCAGAATAAAACCATTGCAGCTTACTTAAATATTGAATGATTGCATCCTGAGGCCATCTGGAATTGTCAGTTGTGGATGTTCATCCAGTGATTCATTTATTATGGCTTCACTGAAATCCAACCAGTGGTTTTTGATGTATTTTGTTTACGCTAACAAACACATATGCAGACACGGGCCTTTGGGCGAGAATAAGCAATGCCTTAAAATACTTCTCTGTAATCACTCTACCTGTGCAAAGTCGACTCCCCACAAACCCTGTGATTATCTTCCACACAGAAAATGGTGGGTGCTGCCATGTAGAAGAGGTAATGTGCCGCACGGAGCCTTTTCTGTACATTCGCTGAGCCTCGGTGCTGCAGGCGTGCTGAGCGGGGTGCCACACGAATCTGGCAGTGGCACGGCAGCCCCCCGTCTAGAGACAAGGTGATATGGACTGGAAATAATGAGCGTGAAAGGAAGAGTTAAGGGGTGCACTCATGCACAAATTTTCTGCACATTAAAACGCCGGCATGGCCTTGCGGAAAGGTCATGTTATTCAATAAGGACGTGAACCTTTGCGAATGGGAGGCGGGAGGAGTCGGAGATAATGCGTGTAGGTACACAGCTTAGTATCTGCGCTGCACTTCATTATCTTTCATCACCGCTGATATCGTTTCAGTGTGCGGCAGATGACATCTGACTGCCAGCGTGTTGGAGGGAAGGGATTTTCTTTGTAATCGTTGTGTTGCTGCAACCTTCCTGCATTCCTGTCTGAAATAATTACCCAGATTCACATCAAACCATTTCAACATCAAGCTTTCAATTACTGACGTCTCTCCTGTTCACAATTTAATTTTCTCTTTCTATAATCAGATCAGATTACGACAGAAAATATTGCGCCGTCGATTTGAAGAAAAGGTTTCAGAATGGGAGGATGGAAATTAACGCAACTGATGAGGGTTGACTCTTCCCCAGGTGTTCCGTCAGAGAGGAGGGGTGGGCCTTGGGATTAGGGGTGTTAGTTCTGGTGATTTAGAGAAAGGTTGAGAGCAGAGAGCGGCTGCTGAACTCTGTCCGTGTCACAGCTCAGGACGACACGGCTAAAACAAACAGCGGCTGCACAGTGTTTGTCCACGAGGTGTGCTGGATGAGATTCAGTCCACCCTGAGGACTTGACTCACACATGCCCTTCTCCCTGCCCCTGTACCCTACCCCTCCAACCCCCCCCATCCCCTCACCTCAGTGTCCAATTACAGCCTGCTCTCATTAGCACAGTGTCTCTCCAGCGAGAGTCTATGCAAGGGCAGGGATGGCTGCAACAAAACCACCAGCGCCAGATCTTTCCAAACCCAAGGAAAGAGTGAAAAAGGCAAGTGCAGGCAGGACTTCTCATTATAGAGTGCTGTAGAAGGTGAGGGGGGACCTAAAGAGTGGCGATTCCTCGGCGTGCTGAATGTCATGTTGTCTTTTTTGCTCTCTTAACAGGACCGACCTCCCGCCCGCTCACAAGCCTGCCCCGCCGCCACCGAAAAAGAAGAACAGCGACATGAAGGGTCACATGACATCCGACGACATCCAGGCAAGCCTAATTTTCACATCATTATCTCTAATCAACATGTCTTTCCAATCCGTCACACTTTTAAGTTAACATAATTTTAAGAACATCAAAAAGTTGTGATAAAACAATCATATCATTCCAGAACTATTGGCTTTTCCATTTTTATGGTTTGGTTCAATATTTTAGTGTCACAGGTCGATTTTTTTTCCATACAAAAAAGAGAAATGTCCATGCCCTTCTTAACTTGTAATTTATTGAAATTAATTCTGAACATTTGTTTAACCTCAAAAGTAGTTTTTCCATTATATGTTGCTGAAACAGCAAGTTTCTCACTAGATCTGTGCTCCACAATGTAGCTTAGGTGGAGTAGTTCAACACAGATCCACTGATCCTTCAACACAGAGCATCTTCAGAAGACAAGCTGATAAAATAAATGCTAAAAGTCCTTATTGTTCCATACATAGTGTATATTGAACCTAAAGCACTGTATTGTATGGTCTGATTGTTGCACCTCTAGTATTCATGCAGCTAAAAAAAGAGCCTCGCTGAACCTTGCCCTTTTGATTTTCTTATAACGATTTCAGTTTGTGTCATCTTGATTTCACGGCTGGTGTTTTAATCATTGTAGAGTAAAATGTTAAGTTAATCAAATGTGAACTTGTTTTTCCTTCTCGTGTACAGTTTCAGTCACAACTGTCAGAGCTAGCTTGTTTCAAAGGCAGTTCAGTCACAGAACAGTTAGCTGCAAGTGTCTGAATGTCTTAATATAGAAAAGTGTCAGAGTGAAACTGATGACATGTATGATTAGAAAAGCTTTACCAATTAAATTCTCCTTTTGAATTAACAAGCTAATGTTTGTCAGTTTTGACAATGATACTGAATCCTGTTCAGTGGTATTAATAGGTAAAATTCTGTTTTTCAATGAAAGCAATTACAGCTTTATTTATTTTTATTTTCTTAGAATGAAACTCATATGTGTAAAGCCTGTGGTTCTGGTTGCTGAATGTTTCAGTTATAATGTATAATGTGTTCACTCAATACATTTGATTTGAGCCTCGGTTGGTGAGTGGTGAAGACTGCGAAGTACCGTGCAGAGCTGGTAAACAGTTTTGTTTTTCACTATTTTTTCTTAAAACCTCAAGACCTCATCATCTCAACAAGTAATCAGACACCAACTGATTGTCAACACTGAGTGGTTTGGTGGAAAAAAAACAGCAGAAATATTTTTCTTTCTTTTTTTTCCCTTTTCCAAGGCACCAGTTTGCAAAAAAATAGTAACACACTCGCCCACACTTTCTCTGATGCAGATGTTGGAATTTTACTGTTTATCTTACAGCTGTCCTATTTACCAGTTTGATAAACAGTTCAAAGCATGCTCTACAGTATGTAGTAATGTAAAATCTAAATTTTAAAAAGCAAAAAAGACCAAATTATATATTTTTTTTACCAAACCTGCACTGAAACTGATGATTATTTCAAGGCAAAGACTTCATTTGTTTCCTTCAGAAGAGTTTAATTACCCCGTCGTTCTGTGCAACACTTTAAATCAGGTGATAGACAAACTGTAAACCTGACTGAATGCACAGGGAAACCACTCATATCACTTGTTACCGTTATCCAGTTTCAAATTGAAATCATCTTTGTTTCATGGTGTTTATTATACAGCATTTAAGTTTTAATTGTGCTCTGTGAGTACAAAGCATAAGCTATGCTAAGATACATTACAATAATGATAAGATAAGATAAGATAAGATAAGATAAGATATACACTCACCGGCCACTTTATTAGGTACACCACGCTAGTAACAGGTTGGACCCCCTTTTGCCTCAGAACTGCCTCAATTCTTCGTGGCATAGATTCAACAAGGTGCTGGAAGCATTCCTCAGAGATTTTGGTCCATATTGACATGATGGCATCACACAGTTGCCGCAGATTTGTCGGCTGCACATCCATGATGCGAATCTCCCGTTCCACCACATCCCAAAGATGCTCTATTGGATTGAGATCTGGTGACTGTGGAGGCCATTTGAGTACAGTGAACTCATTGTCATGTTCAAGAAACTAGTCTGAGATGATTCCAGCTTTATGACATGGCGCATTATCCTGCTGAAAGTAGCCATCAGATGTTGGGTACATTGTGGTCATAAAGGGATGGACATGGTCAGCAACAATACTCAGGTAGGCTGTGGCGTTGCAACGATGCTCAATTGGTACCAAGGGGCCCAAAGAGTGCCAAGAAAAGATTCCCCACACCATGACACCACCACCASCAGCCTGAACCGTTGATACAAGGCAGGATGGATCCATGCTTTCATGTTGTTGACGCCAAAGTCTGACCCTACCATCCGAATGTCGCAGCAGAAATCGAGACTCATCAGACCAGGCAACGTTTTTCCAATCTTCTCTTGTCCAATTTCGATGAGCTTGTGCAAATTGTAGCCTCAGTTTCCTGTTCTTAGCTGAAAGGAGTGCTGCTGAAGCCCATCTGCCTCAAAGATCGACGTACTGTGCGTTCAGAGATGCTCTTCTGCCTACCTTGGTTGTAACGGGTGGTTATTTGAGTCACTGTTGCCTTTCTYTCAGCTCGAACCAGTCTGCCCATTCTCCTCTGACCTCTGGCATCAACAAGGCATTTCCGCCCACAGGACTGCCGCTCACTGGATGTTTTTTCTTTTTCGGACCATTCTCTGTAAACCCTAGAGATGGTTGTGCGTGAAAATCCCAGTAGATCAGCAGTTTCTGAAATACTCAGACCAGCCCTTCTGGCACCAACAACCATGCCARGTTCAAAGGCTCTCAAATCACCTTTCTTCCCCATACTGATGCTCGGTTTGAACTGCAGGAGATTGTCTTGACCATGTCTACATGCCTAAATGCACTGAGTTGCCGCCATGTGATTGGCTGATTAGAAATTAAGTGTTAACGAGCAGTTGGACAGGTGTACCTAATAAAGTGGCCGGTGAGTGTATAATGTCTTGGTCAAATCTTGATAACAAAATCAGAAATTATGATTTTGCTCAATTTGTTATTGTCTGTCCAGCTGATGGAGTAAGAGTCATTTTGTGCTTGATAAAGCTTATTTGCAGAAGTGGTCACCTTAAATCAGGTTGACTTCCAAAGTTTATCAGTTGTGAATGGTAGGTCTGACTTTTAGCAGCTACCTGACCAATGGACCATTTGGTAGTTAGAAATCTGATAAACATAAATTTACACGGTTGTACCGATCCGATGTATTTTCTCTAAACTGAATTGTGTTAAATTTTCTTTTAGGATCATAAATGTTATTTTTCATAAATATCTAAATGTGCTTTTTGAGCTTATTGAGCTTGAATAATTCCAATAGCATTTTCATATAGCAACCTCAGCTTTTATCCAGTTGACCCGTGTCCCAGAAAAGCTAGGTTTCGCTAAGCACATTTCTAACTAGAAAATGGTCTATTATAGTTCAACGTGTAAAATATATGTTTTAAATGTTTTATTTTCTCAGAACTGAGATCTAGAGTTTAGGAGGAGAACTATAGAAAAGAGTGATGCACATTTCAAACATTAGTTTAAACAGCAATGCTAAAATACTGAAGCCTCGTATCTGAAGCTAAGCTAAGCTACGATACGATATGATGATATGATATGATATGATATGATATGATATGATATGATATGATATGATATGATATGATATGAGATGAGATGAGATGAGTCGATACGATATGATACGATACAATACGATACGATACAATAAAATACAATATGATACGATACGGTACGGTACGATACAATACTATACGATACGACACAACAAGACAAGACATGCTACGATAAGCTAAGCTAAGATATGATATGACAAGCTAAGCTACAATAAGATAATATGTGATACAATAAGATACGATATGATAAGCTAAGCTGTGATAAGCTAAGATAAGATACAATAAACAAAACTAAGCTAAGCTGAGATAAGACAGGATAAGCTATACTAAGATACATTACAATACAATAATAAGATAAGATAAGATAAGATAAGATAAGATAAGATAAGATAAGATAAGATAAGATAAGATAAGATAAAATGTATTGTCTCTGGGGTCTTTTTAGTTGTATTGTGTCTTTACTTGGAAACAACACAACATTTTCATTTCACAGAAATGGGGGAGGGGTGCCGTCACCGCCTCCTGGGGCATGACTCATCACCCTTGCAACCAAACAAGCTGGTCTGACAAGTTAACATGAAATTAGAGCAGCTTGTTAACACTGTATGTGTAATTAGGGACATGCTCAGCTTTGCCAGATGATAGACTATAATAAGTTGTGCTTATATAAAATTTTGGATGAAACCAGCATGGCCAAAATAAGACTCCAGGGGGGTTTCACTGTGACCTTTAAAACCTCATGCTATTGGTTCATCTACAGCATCAAATAAATGTTATATGCAGAGAGAACAGGAAGTGTGCAGGTGCTACAATAAAGTTGCTGTAAGTTTGTTTTAGGATTAACAAAAGTTGAAATACTCCCTACTTGGTAATATGTAGAAGAAAAAAAGGTCCGTTAGAGTTTAGATATTTAATTATTGTCTTGACTGTCATACTGGGAAGCAGGTGTTTTAAAAGTTTTATGATACTTTGACTCAGAAAGTCAAACAGCTGGACATCTGGACTCTGAATAATGTAGACTGAGAAGCACCGGGCTTGTTCTCTCCCTGCAGAACTATTGTGCAGAAATTATTGATAAAGTTATCGTATTTCCTCTGCAGTGAGACAAAAAAAAGTTAAGACTCAGACCTATTGTGCAATGTTTTGTTGCCTTAGAATAAAGATATTTTGCAGGTTAATTACATATTTGATTCATTTTAGCCAGTGATGCTAAAACAGTAGCATTAGCATTAGCAGGTCATGAATCAATGAGTCAGAATTAAAACAGATATTATTATATTACAGTGATTCAGGTATTAAATATCCTACATAAAGCAAAAATAATAAAACAATAACTCTTCAACTTTTATTAAGCCAGAGTCGATTTTACTTACCCC